CCACCTGCCAGGCGCCCGTAGGGTGGGCCAGCCAACCGCACACGCGCGCGCTACGGGACTGCCCACCTGCCAGGCGCCCGTAGGGTGGGCCAGCCCGCCGCACACGCGCGCGCTACGGGAACGGGACTGCCCACCTGCCAGGCGCCCGCAGGGTGGGCCAACCCGCCAGACACGCGCGCGCCACGGGACTGCCCACCTGCCAGGCGCCCGGTAGGCCAGCCAGACCGCCGCACACGCTCGCGCTACGGTACTGCCCACCTGCCAGGCGCCCGCAGGGTGGGCCAACCCGCCACACACGCTCGCGCTACGGTTCTGCTCACCTGCCAGGCGCCCGTAGGGTGGGCCAACCCGCCAGACACGCGCGCGCTACGGGACTGCCCACCTACTGCTAGGCGCCCGTAGGGTGGACCAACCCGCCGCACACGCGCGCGCCACGGGACTGCCCACCTTTCTAGGCGGCCGCAGCGCAAAGTGCAACCAAGGTGCTCGGGCTGTACTGCCGGTGCGGCTGCTGGGCCCTGAACGGCGCCAACCAGTCATGGGGGCTCTCGCAGGCAACCCTCTGTTCACACCCACCCTGCTTTTTTTAGCAAAGAAATGTGAGATGAAATATAACCTAGCCACGACCATAAGTAAATGAAAGCAATCCTTGTTGCTTCATGTCGGCCATTATCAAGCAGCCCCCACACCTGTCGCGTGCGCGACTTTTCAGCAGTCGTCGTTTTCTTACCGGGATGGCCCGTCCCCCGGCGTCGCCGGCCCTGCTCGGCTGCCATTAATCAGGGATGGAGCCCAGCCTTCTCGCGAGCCGGCCGCGCCACGCCACTCCGCGGCCCGACTGACTGTCAAAATGTCAAAATGTCACATCGTCGCGGCCGAACCCCCCGGGGGGCTGGCCGCCTCACCTGAATGTCAGTCCCCCCCCCCCTCTTCCTGGCCGGGACGCCCGGAACATACCCTTTCTCTCTCACTCTGCCCCTCCCCTTTCCCTTTTATCGTCGAGCTCTAGCACCGCTGTCGGACGTTCAAGTCTTCCTCAGGACTGTAGGTGCCGCCAGTAGTACGTCCGTGATGGAACAATAGAGGTACAAAATGGCAGCAGCGGCGCCACTCTGCGAATCTTTGTGAGCGGCGACGGTTATATTTCAATGACGAAACAATGGCTTGTTTCATCATCAGATGTAAGGCGAAAACCTACATCAGGGAAAATTTAGATGCACCTCTAACGGCATTCCAAACAGTTCCAATGGTTAATCTTGTAACGGGCTGAAGCATTTCCCTGATTCAATGTATCAACGGACCTTGTGTAAGTGGGCTAAAGTTATGGGTAGGGAAAGGGAGACGGAAACGGAGGGGGAGAGGGAGAGGGGCAGGGAGAGGCGCCACAATAATTACGAGGCGCCAAATTCAACTGGCGCTAGAGCGAACAGAGCCGAGCTCAGCGCGATGACAAT